GGGACAGCCTTCTATTCCCATCCAAATAAATCTTATCATGCCACAACCTCCCACGTAAGGGTCTCTTGGAATGCTTTCCTTGCGAGCCTGTGAAAGAACACGATTTTCACCAGCACTTGCTTCCATGATCAGACTGTGTGTCACTCCTATTTGCCTCCTTCACTAGATGACACGATTGAAAGCAGGGTTTGTGTAGTAGAAGCCCACTGCTTGTGTCTTTTCAGCGTCCATGCCCCGTTTTTTGGTAGTTGCACCCTGATTTTCCCTTCTCCACCGTCAGTCCATGAGATTCAGATGATCCCACTCCCTGGCTCAGGGCTGAATAGGGAATCCAGGCCTCATGAATGAATTTCTGCCTCATTCTCATGGCCACAGGACATTCTGTCTGCCCCCTTTCCAGACGCTCTGAGATTCCTGTTGGGCCGAAGGAAGGAGAGGCTCCCCTTTGTTGGAATTGTTAATCTGGCTGCTGGCAATCAGTTACCTTCTTGCTTCTACATGGGGAGAGTTCACCAGAAAATAAAGCCACAGCAGGAAGGCAGAGCCACGGCATGGAATAGGATAAATTCTCGCCTAAACTAGGGATCTTCTCACAATAGCTCAGTTCTTTCATGTGATTTATAATAATCATGGACAAGAAAATGGCAGGAATATATTTAGGAGAGGAAAGCAGATAAAAACTGCCTCTCACTTAGGGAGTCTATATATTCAGTGGTTCTTAACCTGTGGGTCGCGACCCCTTTGGCGGTCAAACGAGCCTTTCACAGGGGTCGCCTAAGACCATCCTGCATATCAGATATTTACATTATGATTCATAACAGTAGCAACATTACAGTTATGAAGTAGCAACGAAAATAATTTTATGGTTGGGTCACAACATGAGGAACTGTATTTAAAGGGCCAGAAGGTTGAGAACCACTGAAGGTCATCTGGAAGCCAAATTCTATATTATCCAGTTTGCGTAGTTGCCAAACTTATGAAAACGTGGGTTAGCTAAGCTGTGTGTGTGTGTATTTTAATAGGCAGATATGTACCTGGAGAGTCAGTTCTTTTCATGCAAGTCCTCAATTTACTAATATGACCAGTATGAGAGCAGGTGAGATGTGCAGTGTTGAGGATTGGGGGCTTTGATGATGAGGAAAGTTTGTCTACTGGCTTTTGACATTGTTTAGTTGTGTAGCCTTTACCAACTTTGCTTCTTTGAACCTCAGTTTCCTCGCATGTAAAATACGGACGGTAACAGTACCACTTCCTGGCGCCGTGGTGAGGGTTACATGAAATCACACACTTGAAGGGCACAGTACAGTGCTCGGTACATCATATGGTCAAGAAAAAAAGCTTACATCTCTTTTTAAAATAAACATTTTATTTAAAAATATATATATATTTAAAAAGAACACATGCCAACTTTGGTATTTTAGCCATTGCTTCTTTTCTCTTCCTGGCAACCCACATTTCTTTCTGGTTATGTATAGTTGAGCCAAGGAGACCAACATGAAAACAACACCTCATGGGGTCCCCACAGAAAATGTGCGCTTGGTCTTTTTATTTCTTTACAAAGCACCGCGTTGTGTTTCAGCAAGGAGGGTTTCAGCACCCAGCAAGCACTGCCCTCTTTCCACCTTGGAGAGGAACCCTGGGGGCATGTGGCTTCCCTTCCTTTGGAAAACATCAGAATAGCATCCAGAATCCCCATGGTTATACTCCCTTTCCTTGAACGCTCAGAAGCTGTTACGCCATTTATGGGAAACTCATGTTGCCAGCAGGTGGTTAAAATAAGCACAAGAGACTTTCAGGAGTTTGTCTTAATTCACAGGGGAAATTGCCAAATCCTAGAATCCGAAGGAACTTACTGGCACATGATTGAACTCAATGAATCCTCTTATGATTTCCCTGGCAGATGCTAGCAAAATTCTTCCAAGATCTTTTCTTGTCTTAAACTTATCTTTTCCATGCATCAACCTAGCCTGTGGGCCTCTGGAAATGTGGATTCTCCAATCAAACCCAGCTCCCGAACACACCGGAGCCGCTCTCAGCACCAGAGGCCCCTTTTTTCCAGGCCCTGGATTCAGGGTCTATGAATACCATCTTTCTAACAAGGCACTAGCAATTTCAGCCTCTGCACCACCCTGCGGGGTGATGCTGGATTTATAGGAAAGCAAAGAGCCCAGACCCTTTCACTCCAAGTTCTCTCATCTCTGATAGCAAGCAGTGTGCCAGCTTTGGTGGGCTTCCCACTCTGAGGAATGCAGCAAAACCCAAGGCGGAAGGTAGTGCCTTCACATTCCACAGATTTTCTGCTAAGGATGGAGGTTTACCTGGGACACCCCGCCCCTGCAGTAAGTGTCCTTGTTGTCCAGAGAGCTTGCTATGGAGATGAAGGATCAGTGGTAGGGCAAGATGTTTTCCTCTCCCATCCCCAATTTTCATGGGTTTCTGTATCTGGAGATAAAAACAAATCCTAAAATGCACACAAATGTTTGACGTGGTGGGAGATATTGAAAGATCTTCAAGTGATGTACTACTGCTGTTTGGTCATTGAGAAAGAGACAAGAAAAGAATGTTAGTGTGGGTGATAGCTCTTAGCTAAAAAGGAGCCCTCTGTTCTCTCTTCTGGAAAAATGAGGATACCCTTTCTATCACGGCTAAGGGGTTTCTGGTTTGAGGACTGGGAAATTCCCAGTGTTCTTGCTTATAGCAACTGCAACTCCCCAGCCACTCAAATTCTGAACCATCTGCTTAGTCAGTTTGGTATTGGATATCTGAGGATTTGTGTGATCTGTACAGGTTAGACATCAAGTAATTATCTATTGGATGAGTAAATTGGATGCAGGAGTTTTCAGCCACACCATGATCTGTTTTTAGGAGAGCTGATAGAATTTAAATAATTTTTGAAAAGGAGTGTCTCAAATGCTTGTTTTTAATTCATTCTTTTTTTTCAGATTGGAAATAAATGCTTTGAATGGCAAAGGTCTCCAGTTCTCAGACTGTTGACTACTCAGGTGGAGACTCTCTTGGCTTCCTTATTTATGGTGCAATCATTGCATTTCTAAAGGATGACTTTTCATCTAAAAATTTGTGGTTCACTTTCAATATGTAATGCCTTAGGTGAACTGAGAGGTCCATAGATCAGGAAGTTGGGACCTTTGTTCTCTCCTCTCTCCCTCCCTCCTGCTCTTCTTTCCCTTTTTTTCCTTCCTTCCTTCTTTCCTTCCTTTCTTCCCTCCTCCTTCCCTCCCCCCTTTCCTCTCTCTCCCTCATAATATGTGTTTCATATCAATAACATTGTTAGAAGCAGGGCTACAACTAATAAGCACCGGCTTAATGACAGCATTTGCACAAATGAATTTTCTACTCCTTTGGAAAGTCTGAACCTAAGGGACTGCATCAGCATTCAAATGTCTGCACATGTCTGCAGGTCTGCTGCACCATGGGGTGCCAAGAGTATTAAGAAAACCACAGGTAGTTATTTTCAGGTCTAAGATAATTAAGAAACATGGATGTGGCCATCTTTATAAGTCTCTGTACATCTTTTTATCAGGCCCAATTTGTCACCAAAACAGAGGACACGACTAAGAGATTAAAAGAACTTAAAAATCCCCAATAGGAGACATATGAATTAACATGAATGATCTGATCCATGGGGAGAAGCCAACTTCATCAAATTTCTCCCAATTATCCCCGGTTTTATCCCACAAATACACCTGAGCTATGAAGAGACAGAGTGAGTATGCTGTGTGGAGACAGTGGAAGGAGGTTGAGATCAATAATCCAGGGTCTGATCTGTGTTAAGTGTGTTGGTTTGCAGCAGCAAGTAGGGTCCGTCTTTTGTCAACTGTGAGGTGTGTATATCAGTACAAGGTAATAACCTAAAAAGATCCCTAAAGATGCAGAAACTTGCAAAGTGCAGAGGCCTCCTAACCAAGTCTATTTCTTCAGATGGGACTACCCAAAGGAAAAAATAATTAACACTCAGACTATTGTCTCAGAGGAGGGACACTATGGGTTTGTTTTCCAAAGGAAGTAAAGGGTGGGGAGGATAACATACAAATCACACAACGTAACACATGAAAAATGTACTGACCAGCAAGCTTTGTTAAGATCCAAATAGATTTTCAACATCTGAGAAATAAACAAGTGTGAGGAATGTGTTAATAAGGGTTTCTTCCCCATGCTTCATCTTCAAAGAAAAGATTGGTCATCCCCTCCAGTCCCCCCTAGATTTTTGGTTCTGATGACCGACATAAAAGCAAAATGAAAAATTTACCATGTGGATCTTTTAAAGCGCAATGCAGATCAAGGAATGTAAAAGGGTTTTAATGTTCCTTTTATGCTCTCCAGGAGAGACTGTATTGCCGTTTCCAGCTGCTAATGGTGAAGCTGTTCTGTCTTTCACATCCATGTCCATTGTCAAGATGAGCTTGTTCACAGTAAGCAAGTGGCTGTGAGTCATCGGCCGGAGCCTCAGTCACACACACAGAGGCAATGTGTAGTCTGGTTGGTTAATTAGAAACTCGTAGTGAGAAAGACCAAGTATCATTTCACAGCAGATTGAGGCTTAAAGGTTTTTGGTATAGATCTCTGTAACACTGCTTTACAAGATTCATACACACATGTGTATGTGTCTATACACATGTATGTATATGTGTGTACATACATAGACACATACACACACATATATATCCATACACATAGGCATGTGTGTGTGGATATATATATATATATATACATATCCCCCACCCCTAATAAGCTCTGGCAGCTTTCAGAGTAGCAGGCAGCTTTCAGAGTAGCAGTCACCAAAAACTCTGTTCACACAAGTTTTACAAGTTAACAATGGAATGATTTCTAAATCTTTGGTTTATCAAAAAAAGAACTTCTAAAATCACAACGTTTTTGGTTATTTTCTCCATAAGTGCACAGTGAAAACAGTGCCTTAGTGATTTAAATTAAAACAACAACAACAGCTACTTTCTACGGCATGCAACACTATAAACACGGCATGCAACACTATAAACACGGTGAAGCCCCAGTGCACCTTGGGGAGACCGTCCCAACGGCTGAGTTTTCCAACCCCCAGCACAAGCGTGAGAGGTAATGAGGAATGCACACGACACCACTGTCTTTTCTTCCTCCCACTGTTTTCAACGCACCATTGTGTTTTCTTTCAGAAATCCATACCTAAAACACTCTCTCCTTGTATCTCTACAATATAATGATTTCCAATTTCCCAAATCAGTGATTGCTGTAAATCAAACGAGGGGAGAATGAGCGTGGTGACTGATGGGCCAAGTCACCAGTTTCTTCCTAAAGACATTCTTTCAACTTCCTTCTGCAGCAAATTATGCATATGGAGAATGAGTTTTCCAGGAAAACCTGGAGTTTTAGCTTTTTGAAATATGGCTTTATTAGGAGTATGGCAGCTTATTAGATCTACAGTAAGAAGTCCTCTTCTCCCAATGCCGGGGCAAAAAAGAAAGATATCTGAAAGAGGAGCAAGAAAGGATTGGTCTCTTGAAAGAAAAGTTGAGTGGGAGAAAAATAAACAAGACCATGCCCATTCCAGAAAAAGAAGTTGGACCTCACACATAGTCCTGTTATAATAGCCTATGGCTTACTAGTATTCCCATGATATGGGAAACAGTGTTCTCTAGCGCTGTCTGAATGATCCCTGATATGGCTCCCTGAGGCTAGAGCGGTCCTTTCATCTGCTTAGGTCAGCACTAGTCTTTGGAACTAAGGAGGGTGGTGCTGGAGAACCTCCCATGGCAGGAGTTTCTTGCCTGTTTCACAATGCTTCCCACCACAGAGAGAGTGGGAGTGATGCGGCTAATTGGTTAAGAAAAAGGGAAGTTCTGGGAAGGGTTCTCTGCAACAATGGTGGGTCAGTTTTTATCAGTGACCTCACAGACTTCTGGGTAGGAGATTGGAAACCATTCCGATGGGGCAGCTTTGTGGTCAAGGGACACTGAGTTGATTTTTCTTCCCTGGGAATGAATTGGTTCTGTCCCTCTAGTCTGCCTCAAGAACTCCGTAACTGAAACTGGGCCTTACTTGTATTTTGAAAGACAGTAATGGAGCTATGAGAATCAGCCTCCATCACAGGTGTGTCTTCTATAACCTTTGATGGACTGACTTCCCTGAACTCCCAAGTTTACATTTTCTTTCCAATAAATTCATGAGAAAAGCTTACAAGGTGAGATTACGCCCCAACAATGTCTTAATTAAATATGGGCTAGAAAATATATTGGTGTTTGAAAAGGTAGTGAAAGATTTTTTTTTTGGCATTCTTGATCTGAGAAAGCACATTTTAAGTGCATTGCTAAAATCAGTAACAGTCATTGAATGTTGGTAAGTATTACTATATATATATATAAAGGACTCCTATTTGTGCTGTTGATAGTCAAAGAAATCTCCACTGCTTCTTTTAAATTTCTTCCTCCTCTGCTTCCCCCTCCTCCTGCTCCTCCTTTTGGGTAATACAATACAAGTATTTGTGGTTGTAGAATTCCTATTGGCCTTCCTTAGCATTTTTGCATCAGGCATTCTACCACTGCTGTAAGTGCAGGTCCATGGGGGAATTCAAATTCAGATCTGTGACATCCAGAAAATCGATGTTGAAGATGCTCGGGCCGCTGGTGCTGAGTGAGCTGAAGCTTGGTGTGGAACTTGGGGGAGTGAGGTCCAGCCACTCCATGGTTTCCCAGGGAGATTCAGTGAAGCTTAACTGCAGCCCACTGCTGTCCACAGAAGAAGGTGAAAACTGAGTGTGTATCGGGGAGAGGGGACCTGGCAAGATCTCATGCGCATTGAAGAGGTCTTCTGCAGCCTTCCCAGAGAATCCATCCATTATGCCATCGAAAGAAGGCTCCTCACTCCCAATTTTTAGAAGGGCAACATCGCTCACCTTTCCCAAGGGGCTGTGGGAATTTAATAAGACTTCAAGGTGCTCATCACTGTCTGTGCCATAGTGATCAAATGAGAGCTGGCCTCCTGAAGACGCTTGTTCAAAGGGAGCAGAAGGCTTGGGGAGGGCAGCAGTGGGGCTTCGGGAAGACCTAGGCATCTTTGGGACCTTTTGAAGACACGAATGATCCTCTCTGGCATCAGCTGGCATTTCTGTTGGTAAAACACAATGGGAACTGTCAAATCACTTCAAACAGAGCATGCCTCACAACGTGAATCTTTGGAGTGAACGAGTTACACTCAGATGCAGGTGGTGGCTATGCTCCTCTGGTCACTGCTCACTACCCTCTTTCATCTCTAGACGGCTCTATGCAACCATATCCCTCTGACCCTCCCGGGTCTCTCCTCACATCCTTTCTTTCTGGAAATTTCACTTTGTGTTTATCAAATTCTCAAAGCGGGTTCCTTTACCTGCTCCTTCACTGACACCTGTCTGTCCCCTGAGGACATTGCATCCTCTGTTACACCCTCAGTGTGGGCTCCTGTACTTCAGAGCAGAAGGTGAGTCTTCCTGCTGCCACTCTCTGATTGTTACTCCTCCACCTTATAACTCCTGGCTTTCAGGGTCATGCTGCTCTCCCCACCATCCTACCCCACACATTTCTCCTCATCCCACTGAAAACTCTATTCCCTAGTTCCATGGTCGGCAAACTGCGGCTTGTGAGCCACATGCAGCTCTTTGGCCCCTTGAGTGTGGCTCTTCCACAAAATACCACGTGCGGGCGTGCATACAGTGCGATTGAAACTCCGTGGCCCATGCGCAGAAGTCGGTTTTCGGCCTGGGCGAGTCTATTTTGAAGAAGTACTATTGATATTTGGCTCTGTTGAATAATGAGTTTGCCGACCACTGCCCTAGTTCATTGCCTTTCCCCCACTTTAACTCCTGTCATTCTCTGTAATTTCAGCATCCTCAGATGTCACCCATTGTCCAGCTGGCCTCTCAGTTCCTTGACGTCGCCATCGCCCTCAACTTCAGTGATTCCTTCATTTTCACTCTGTTGGACACACCCTGGACCTTATCATTTCCAAAAACTTTATCCCTCTGAAAGCTCAATATCAAGCAAAATTTCACACTCTCAATGCATCCCTCCTATTCCTCTAACTTACCCAACAACAATTTCTCAGCCACAAGGAGTCACTCTAATCTACAGACACCACTATTTTATCACCATCCATCCACCCCTTCTGGTTTTCATTTCTTTTCTTTCCAATCCATATTATCTAGTCCACCATTATATATATAATCTCCCTAATATACACATAGATGGAATGGCTGAACAACCGAACAACTGAACAACCGGTCACTATGATGTGCGCTGACCCACCAGGGGGCATGCACAGAACATGGTGGGTGTTGGCTGTGGCAGGATGGTGGAGCAGGTGAGCGGGGGTGCCAGACCAAGGTGGGGTGCCAGTCACTGTCATTGGGGCGAGCCTCTGGTGGTTACTGAAAATTCTTTGCTTCTGTGTGCCATGGTCACGCCCGGCGCTTGCACCTAATGCTGGCGCCAGCCCCACTCGCACCCGCCGCCCATCTTTTCCTTCTTCTTTCTTGTTACAATGGAGGAATTGCCTGTTCTCTTGCTTGTTGTCAATCTCCCTCACCAGACTGCAAACTGCCCAGAGGTGGGGACTTGGTCCAGTGGAGCCTTGAGCCTGGACCCTCTTTCTCTGAAACTTTAAGTGTTGTTACCTGAGGTTTTTTTTTTTCTTTCTATCTACACTTTCTCCTATGTGACCTTGTTCATTTGTATGGTTTCAAATTCTAAGTACATATTATATAATTTAAAAAAAAATACATGACTTAAAAGGGGCAAAAAGAATATGTCAATAATTTTTATTGCTAGCTTAAAAGACATTTAAGCATGAATGGACCATCTAATGGGAGATTAATAATTGAATATCATTTTGAGTAGGTAGCACAAAACTTGTTATATCTTCTTCATCCTTCTCACAGTGAAGATAGGGACACTGGGATTAGAACGGTAGAGAGAAATAGTATAAAACGAGGAAAGTTAGGGAACAGTTGAAACATGAAAACTGTTAAAATGATTGGTGGAAATGTTCCATGGACAAAGGGACAATGGCGGAGAGGAGTCATCCACAATGCCCTTCTTTGTCTGCTCCAAAGTGGATAGGAAGCTCGGATGGAGTGACCACTGTACCCATAGACCAGTGGTTCTCAACCTTCCTAATGCCGCGACCCTTTAATACAGTTCCTCATGTTGTGGTGACCCCCAATTTCATTGTTACAAATTGAACATAATGAAAGCATAGTGATTAATCACAAAACAATATGTGATTATATATGTGTTTTCCGATGGTCTTAGGCGACCCCTGTGAAAGGATCGTTCAACCCCCAAAGGAGTCGTGACCCACAGGTTGAGAACCGCTGCCATAGACTTTTCAGTCCCATTTACAGTGAGCAGCTGGGTTTACTCCCTAGGGTACATGCAGGTGCAGAGTATCCTGATGGGCAGAACACGGGCAGTCTTACCTCCACTTTCAATGAGGACATCCAGGAGCTCGTCCATCTGCTGACTGCGAGTCATTTGCTATTACGAATTAACCAAAGGAGGACAGAGAAGTCAGAAGGTGGCTCCCTCTTCGATAGGAAATCATTAGAAGCAGCACCACATATTCTTGAACTAGGTTTGGCTAGTTATATTTTTAATTGTGGTAAAATACACAAAACATAAAATTTATCATCTTAACCATTCCTAAGTGTACAGTTCAGTGATATTAAGTACATTCACATTGTTGTGCAACTATCACCTCTACCCATCTCCAGAACTGCTCTCATCTTGCAAAAGTGAAACTCTGTCCCCATTAATCAAAAACTCCCCATTCCATTCTCCTCCCTGGCCCTGGCAACCACCATTCTACCTTCTGTCCCTATGAATCTGACTACTCTAGATAGCTTATATAGTGGATTCATATATAGTATTTTTCCTTTTGTGACTGGCTTATTTCACTTAGCGTAATGTCTTCAAGGTTCATCCATGTCAGAATTTCCCTCCTCATTAAGGCTGAATAGTATTCATTGTATGTATATACCACATTTTTTTTTTAATTAAATTTTTATTGTTCAGATTACATTTGTTCCTCTCCCCGCCCCCCCATAACTCCCCTCCTTCCAGTTCCCGCCCCACCCTCCACCCTCACTCCCCAACCACTGTCCTCATCCATAGGGCACGATTTTTGTCCAGTCTCTTCCGAACTCACATTCCCCTTTCCCCCCCAGAATAGTCAGGTCCATTCCCTTTCTATG